TTTTTGTGAGATTTTATGTCCTAAGACATGATCAATTTTTGTAAAGGTGTTATGCTACTTTCTATTTCCATTAAATAATCTCCAAATGTCTATAATATCTAATTTTTTGAAATTATATTCTGGTCTTTAACTTTTTTCTAGTTTATTTTTTGGTTAAATTTGCTTAGGGCTGATAGGGGTCAATTGAGGTCCCCCTCAACAGTAATATACACTGTTTTAGTTTTACTATTTCTCCCTGTAACTAATTTAGTTTTTTTTTTTTTTTAATATATAGAAGCTATGCCATTCAGCGCAGGTATGTTAAGTATTGGAATTGATTTATTGTCACCTTTCAGCAAAATGGGGTTTCCCTATTTATCTTCTTTAATTAAATTGATTTGTGCTATTGCTTTATGTGAAATTATAATTGTTACCCTTGGTTTTTTATATTGAGCTGAGGCATAAAGGATTTTGCTCTAACACTGTTTTAATAATAATAAGTAGAATTTATATAGCACTTCAAGGTTTGCAAAGTACTTTACAAATATTATCTCATTTTGTCCTCACAATGACCCTTTGGAGTAGATGTTATTATTATCACCATTTTACAGATATGGAAACTGAGGGAGAGGGAGGTTATGTAACTTGCCTAGGATCACACTGCTAGTATGTGACTTAGGCAGGATTTGAATTCAGGTCTTTCTGACTCTCATTCGAATCTACCGCATCACCTTGCTGCTTCTTAAATATTTCAAGTCTGTTTCACGTAAACAGGAGAATATTAGATTTTGCTTTTTAATCTCTTCTGCTAACCTCCTCTGTTTAATTGGTGAGTTCATCCCATTCACGTTCACAGTTATGGCAGTAAAGTATGTCCATCCTACTCTTGTATTTTTTTCTTCTCCATACTATTTGATTTCCATTTATTTTATTACCCTTTCTTTTTTTCCCTTTTGACCTTTCTCTTCACCATCCCCTTTCTGAGCTTAAGGATTGTTTTGCTTATAACTAATCCCTCTCTAACTACCAGAAAAGGAGTGGTGTACAGCATTGCACAAACCATTCACAAACATTAAGATTGGCTTGATGAAAATGCTGGGGAAATTCAGAAGATGGTAAACAAGAAGGCAGCGCTTAACTCCACCAAAAGTAAAGTGCAAGTGAAGCTTAGAGAGAGGCAGGCTTCTTGGCTCAGTAAGAAGGCAGATGAAATTCAGTTTTGCACTGAGAGTAACAATCCAAAACACTTTTATGATGCCCTGAAAGCTATTTCTGGGCCAAAGCCCTATGTGTATCTCAACCATTCAGTGCTGATGGAGCCACAATGATCAGTGCTAAGGACATAATCCTGGAGAAATGGGCTGAACACTTCCATGCCTGGCACATAGTAGGTGCATACCCTATGTTCATTGACTAGAGAGATTAGTCAATCTTAACATTAATTCATTAATGCTAAGCAATGGAGATACGGAGACAGAAGTGAAAGCTTCCCCATCCCCAGGAGCTGCTGTTCTCCGGGAGAGAAATTATCCGTGTCTAAGACCGCATGAAGAACACGCAAGTTCTCAACAGACCGTCATCAATCAATCAATCCGTCAGTGCCGAAGCCACTGACCGTGGACCTCAGGTTGAAGGCAGTCTCTGTCCAGCTGAATTTCCAACAGAAGAGGAGGTTTTGAGCATATTGGGCTCCTCTCCTGTGGTCCAGCGTCTGGCGCTGATTCTGCTGTAGTTGAGATCTACAAGGCAGGGGTCCGCCGCTCATGGGATTTTCTGGGTTATACGGCAAGAGGAGGCTATGGAGGTCTCTGTCGCCCATCTCTCTAAAGGAAAGGGACAAGGGGTGTCCTGAGACAAGCGGGGTGGGGATGCCTAAGACTACTCTATACAGAACTCACACAAGGCAAGCGCTCACGTAGCGGTCAGAAGAAGTCCCACGAATACACTCTCAAGGTCTCTCTGAGGAACTTTGGAGTCGATTGTGAGACACAGGAGACCCTGGCACAGGGCACCCGGCATGGCGTGCCCTCCCCGAGCAAAGCAGAACTGAAGCAGCTCTAAAGAAACGCGAGGCGCACAGATCTGGAGAATCCACGCCAAGTGTTCACATGGACTATTTGTGACGGACCTGTGCCGGAGCCTTCCCGGGCTGTATTGGCCTGACCAGCTTGCCCCAACACAGCGACGTCGTTTTGGTCCTCTCCGAGCACGAAGGACAACCACGAACCTATTGACTTGACCCCTTTCCACACCCTCTAGCTGGGTGATCATCCCCACTGCAGCCTCCACATCCTTGTTTCCAGACCTACTTATCCTGCTGTCTCCAGTCGCCCGGTGGGCATCTGGGACTGGCGCCTCCTCGACATCTCACCACCCCGCGCCCCAGGGGTGCTCGCCTTCTGAGCTCCCCAAGACCGCGGGCAGCTTCACCTCGAGCTTTGGCGGACTCCAGCCCAGGGGGCATCACTGCCTCTCCTCCACCTCGCCCCAGTCAGTCTCCGGGGTCCTGCTCTGCCTCCACATCTCTCCCTGTGCCCCCTCCCCCCATCGGACGGGACAAACCCTCGAGCTGGCCGGGGTCTTCCTCTAACCCATCAAGCCGGGGCCCTACCGCGTGCCAGGCAGCAGCACGTGCTAGGACCGCCCCGGGACCCGATACAGGGCCCGATGCTCCTGGGGGGCTTCTGCCTCGGCATCCCCAGGGCTTCGCATGAATGAATTAAACGATAATGCAAACACTAATTAATCTCTCCAGTGGAACAGTCAACAAACGTGCGTTAAGCACCTACTATGCGCCACGCAACGTGCTCAGCACAGGGGATACAAGCAGGAGAAAGAGCGCCTGCCCTCAGGAAGCTTGGAGTCTAATGGGGGAAGCTGAAGGGGCGGGGGCTGGGGGACAAGCCGTCCAGCCAAGCCCAGAGCAGCAGCCAGGCGAGACAGGAGGTGGTGTCTGGGCTCCCCCTGAAGAAGAGATCTAGGGTGCATGGGGCAGAAGTGGTGATGGGGGGAAGCCCAGGCCGCTGGGGTCACCCCAATAGCGAGCCTCCTGGGGAAGAAAGGGAGAGGTCCGCAGGTCGCGCTGCCAGGCGTGCTTGCTGCTCCTCCGGTGCCTGGCACACAGCAGGCGCTCACTTGGTGCAGGCTGGGGCTGACGGACAGGCAGGGTCCCCCGGGCCTGGAGCGCGAACTGTGGGGGGCGCATGCGCAGTGCCTCCAGAGGCACTTGCCCTTCCGCCCAGCCCCACCCCGCCCCCCTCCAGTCCGCCCCGCCCCTCCCGCCCGCGGCGCCGTCCCCGCGCGTGCTGCGCGTGCTCACGCACTGACGTCACCGTGGGCGGGGCCTGCGCAGGCGGGGCTGGGTTGTCCTCTGGCTGGGCGGGAACCGCTGCCGGCGGAGCGGGTGGTGCCCGAGGTGAGCGAGGCTGGGGGAGGGGAGGGGGAGGGGGAGGGAAGGCAGGGGGTGAGGGGGAGGCGGTGTCCCCCCTTGGTGGGGAGACAGCGGGGGGAGGGGCTCAGAGCCCCCCATTCGGCCCCTCCCTGCACTGGAGGGCCACGCTAGCAGCCGCCTGCATGGATTAAGCGCCTACTGTGTACGGGGGCGGGAACGGAGAAAGGAAGAAGCGCGGCCTCGAGCCTTTCCTTAGCGCGTGCACAGGACCCTCTGTCAGCCAGCATTTATTAGGCGCCTGCTGCGTGCCAGGCGGGGGGGGGGGGGGGGGGGGGGGGAATCAATCCGGCTGAGCGGGGGGGGCCCCCAATCCCCCGCCGCGGGGGGGGGGGGGGGGGCCCTCGGGCCGGTGAGGGGGGGGAGTCTGACCCTGAGCCCCCCCCGCCCCTCCCCCGTGTTCCTGTGGGGGAGGGACGAGCCCTCGGTCCGGTGATGGGGGGGAGTCTGACCCTGAGCCCCCCCGCCCCTCCCCCGTGTTCCTGTGGGGGAGGGACGAGCCCTCGGTCCGGTGATGGGGGGGAGTCTGACCCTGAGCCCCCCCGCCCCTCCCCCGTGTTCCTGTGGGGGAGGGACGAGCCCTGGGTCCGGTGATGGGGGGGAGTCTGACCCTGAGCCCCCCCGCCCCTCCCCCGTGTTCCTGTGGGGGAGGGACGAGCCCTCGGTCCGGTGATGGGGGTCCCGGGGGCTCAGGGTCCCCTGCGGAGGAGCTGTGGCTCTGCTGTCCTCGTGGCCCCCGCTGGCCAGGAAGCATTTACGGAGCACCTGCTGCATGCCGGGCAGGGGCTAACGTGGGGGGCCCTGCCCGCTTCGCCCCCTGGCCTGCCCGGGCTCTTGTGCCCCCGTAGAGGGCCAGGCGCCATGCCCGGCTCATGCTTGTGGACAGACTGACGGCCAGAAGGAAGGACAGAGAAGCCCTGTGCTTGTCTGTGTCCGGGTGACCCCCCCACCCCGCCGCTCCAGGGGCTCCCGCAGAGACCTGGGGGGGGGGGTCACTCTCCAGCCGCTCAGTCAGAGGTGAGACCTGAACCCAGGTCTTCCTGCCTTTGGGGAAGCACCTACTGTGTGCCGGGAGATGCCGAGAAAGCCACCATTACATGGGGGGGGCACATGGGGAGGGGGGCTGCGCCCCGCCCCGGCATCCCAGCGGGGTCCTGGTGAAGGGGAGGGGAGGAGGCAGTAAGGGCCGTAGCTGAAGCGCATCAGGCTGGGCTGGGGCGGGGGTGTCATTGCCCTTGGCACCTGCTGCTCTGGAGCGTGACCAGAAAGGTGGCTAGAATGAATGAAGAGGGTGCTCTATGCCTGGCCTCGAGCCTGCCTCCAGGGGGCTTTCCTTCTAAAGAGACTGACCAGTCCAGGGCTGTGGCCACCGGGCTTCGGGCTTCGCAGCTGCCTGGACAGCTCCCATCGAGGCGTGGCCTTCTGGGAGATGGCTGGCACCTGGTTCGGTGCCACAGGAGCCCAGGTCCCGCCTTCCCTGCCCACCAGCTCACCCCCGCAGGCATAGTCCGTGGTTCAGCACGGAAGGGCTTGCAGGGTGGCCGCCCCTCTTTCCCCACACTGGCGCATAGGGCACAGGCCCCCACCCACAGCTGGCATTGCATTGGGAGGCAGAGTCCACCCCAGCCGGGGTTTTAAGGGCTGCCAGCCACCCAGCTGCTCTCCTGGGAATCCCTGCAGGCGCAGGTGGCAGTGAGGGTACGGAGAGCAGCTCTGTTTCTCGGTGAGGGGGCGTGTGTGGGGGGATGTTCTGGATGTGTGTGGGGGGGGTGCAGACATGGCTGTGGAGTGACCATCAGCTCCCAGCTGTGGGGCCCCAGGCCAGGGTACAAGGGGGCTAGAGGTGTGGAATTGGCTGTTTCTCTCTGTCTCTGACCTGGGCAAATCCCTTAACTTCAGTTTTCTCAACTGTGAAATGGGGATAATAATAGCACTTACCCCTGCCAGGGTTGTGAGGCTCACAGGAGATAATGTTTGTAAAAGTGTTCAGCTCTGGGTGGGTGCATAGTAGGCTCTATATAAAATGTTTATTCCCTTTCCTTTCCTTCCTCCACCCCAACTAGCTGGGGTTTTCTGTGTTGTGTACCTAACCCTACATGCCCTTTCTTTAACCACTCCCTAGCTGTTTTAATGATGACTGTTGTGTGGTCAGAGATCTGGTGCTTGGGGTCCCCTCTCTTTCCATTTTTTGTTTCCATTTTTCCCCTTGAAATTCTTGACCTCTTGGGCCCCTGAATGAATTTTGTCCTTAGTTTTTCTAGCTCTGTAGAATATCCTTGGGGAGTCTGTGCAACATTAAATAAATACATTAATTTAGGTGATGCTGTCATTTTTATTATGTTGGATCGACCCACCAATGAGCAATGACTGTTTCTCCATTAGATTCGTGTTTCTCTTATTTAGAGCCGTCTTTATTTCTGCAGAGACTTTCCTAGAGAGGTTTATAGAGTAAGGAGGCAAATCCTACTAGTTTTGAATGGCGCTTCTCTTTCGAGCCCTTCTCACTGGGTTTTGTCGGTCATTTATAGGGGTACTAATGATTTGTAGCGATTCATCTCACCCCAAAACTTGGCCGTTTAGTTCATTAATTGTTTGAAATAATATTTTGGTTGGCTTTGGAGGGATCTCTAGGTGTACCTTATCGATACCCTGATAAAAGGAGTCATCGTTTCCTCCTTGCGGTGTTCGTTCCCTCCGTTTCTTTTTCTTGCCCTTATTGCTGAGCCAGCATTCCTAGTAGGGATGTGGACGATGAAAAGGCCTCCAAACTCATCTCCATTATATATGACGTACGTGCATGGGGCTAGAGAACTAATATGGACAATCATTTATGTGATCATATCGCCCTGTAAGCCTAGCCAAGTCTCAGCCTTGGGTTATTCCCACCCTTTGCGTTTGCTCGTGCACATGGGCTGCTGAATGTAGGTGGAGGAAATTTCATGATCATTCCAACGACGCAGATTGGTGTTACACGACGTCACGTGGGCCCTCACTGCTGCCAGGCCGCAGCCCGTCCTTCCTCATCAGCCCACTCCCTCACTCCCCATCGAGGCGCTTCCAGACCTTCTCATTCCTCCTCAAGCCTCCCCAGCTGGTCTCACGTGATGACCCACCCTTGGCCACTGAAGAGACCCCATCCCATCCTGTCTTCTCCAGCAGATTGCCCCATCTGTCGTCCCCTCTCTTTCGCTTACCTTACAGCCCTTCCTCATTTCCTACAGACATGCCTGTGTCTCCTCAAAAACCTTCACTTAATCCTTTTATCTCTATTACTTTCCCTTATTTCTTCTGTCTTGTGGCTAAACTCCTTCAAAAACGCTAGGTCTACACTAAGTGTCTCGACTTCCCTCCTCTCCCTCTCTTCTTAACCCCTTACAATCTGGCTTCCAGCCTCCTCCTTCCAAAGGAAGGAACTGCCCTCTCCAAAGTGACCATTGGTGCCTTAGTTGCCCAATCCAATGGCCTTTCCTCAGTCCGCGTGTTCCTTGACCTGGCTGCAGCCTTGCAAACTGGGTCACTCTCTCTTCCCGAATCCTCTCTTCTCTCTAGGTTTTCAGGACTCCCCCTCTCTCCTGGTCTTCCTCCCACCTCTCAGCCTCCTTTGCTAGATCATCCCTCAGATCATACCCTCCACCCTTATGCATCCCTCAGGATCGTGCCCTGGGCCCCCTTCTTCCTCTAGACTAGTTCACTTGGGAATCTCATCAGCAAATTCTCAAATCTACCTGTCCTGCCCCAGTCTCTCCTGACCACCAGTTTCTCATCTCCAACTGGACGTCTAGTAGACATCTGAAACTCAGCAACATATGATCTTTCTCCATAATCCCTTGTCCCTCCTACCTTCCCTACGGCTGAAGAGGGCACCACCCTCCTCCCAGGCCCTCAGGCTCCAACCTAAGAGTCATCCTGTGATTTCACCTTTGCAGCAACTCTCTAATGTGCCCCCTACCTCCCCAGAGCTCCCACCGTGGTGCAGGTCCTCATCACCTCACACCTGCCCTAGTAATAGCCTTCTGGGAGCCAGCTGGAAGGGGAGGGGGGGGAACGGTCTGCCTGCCTCAAGTCTCTCTCCACTCCAGTCCATCCTCCATTCAGCCACGAAAGTGATTTTCCTAAAGTGCCACCCCACTCCCCACCTCCAGCATGTCCTTGTCACCTCCAGGAGCAAATATAGCGTGTTCTGTTTGGCATTCAGAGCCCTTCCTAACCTGCCCCCTCCTACCTTCCTGGTCTCCTTACACCTCACTCTCTTTGGTCCAGTAACCTGATCTCCTAGCTATTCCACAAAGAAGATGCCCCCCATCTCTCAGCTCCAGCACTGTCCCCCGGACCTTGAATTGCATCTCTGTCCTGGCTGCCCTGGCTTCCTACCTTCTACAGGAAGCCTTTCCCAGCCCCTCTTCATTCCAGTGCCTTCTCTTCGTAATCGTAGAGCTTTTATAAACAGTTGTTTACACGTCATCTCCCCCATCACATGGTGAGCTCAAGCACATACTATGTACTTAGTATTTATTGACTGGCTGTATTAAGATGAGGTCCCTTTATTTCTATGATATCTAGCATTTTTAATAAGAATGCAAGTTGGCTCTTGAGATTATGTGCGTGATCTCACTGGATTTCTTAACAAACTTCGAAGTGGCGGAGGAGAGTGACTTTCAGCAATGGTCCGTGGCGAGAGGAGGCTGCCTGCCTTCATACCTCTGTGCTGTGACTAAGATACTGTGCTCACCCTGGCTTTTTCTGTTTTGGACCCTGAGCCAGTAAGGAGGTGTGAAGGTACTTTGAGGCAGGCCCTGTGCTCCACGCTGGGGGCACACAGACAAAAGCCAGCCCGTCCTGGTCCCCTAAAAGCCTACACTCAACCATCAGCTTGCATCAGTCCTCCAGCAAACCTTTCTGAGAGCTGGCTGAGGCTGTTACAAGGGAAAGAAGAGATGACTAGAAAAAAGAGCTTGGTTGAGAACACCCAACCTTGAGCAAGTTGAGCTTTGTATAATTTCTTTTCTTGGTGTTTAAAATAAACCACTGCAAACCTGACTCAGAAACATTTGGTCTTAGGCCCTCACACACTCTGCCACTCCCTCTGCCTCCAGCTCCGGAACCAACAAGATGCTGCTGGCATCCTTCGTGGTCCTCGGTCCATGATTTAGAGAGAGGCAACCCAGCACCCAGCCATTATGGGGACTTCCTCTTGTTTTTCCATTAAAAACTGTTTTGTGAATGTACATTTTTAGAATGTCTATCACTGCCCAGTAACCCTTCTCCCTTTTCTCCTCCTTCCTTTGTAACAAATGACTATAATCAAGCAAAACCAGCTGAAACGTGGGCTGTGGCCTTGTACTGTGGACCTCCAGGCCATTGTTGTCCTGCCAAGGAGTGGACAGTTGGCTTCATCCTTTTTTTTTTTTAAAGTGAAGCAATCAGGGTTCAGTGACTTGTCCAAGGTCACGCAGCTAGTATGTGTCAAGTGTTTGGTCTGAAGCTGGATTTGAACTCAGATCCTCCTGACTTCAGGGCCAGTGCTCTATCCACTGCACCACCTAGCTGCTCCTAGTCGACTTCATCCTTGGGGCTAGGACGTCCTTTGGAAATCACGATTGGTCATTGTGTACATTGCTGCCCTGGTTCTGCTCCTTAAGTGTGCCCCAGTTCTAAGAGGTCTTCTTAGGTCTTTTTGGAATCCATCTCTTTCCACATTTCTCCTGGTGCAGTGATAGCCCCTCTCCTTCATGTATCGTAATTTGTTCAGCTGTTCTAACTTGATGGTAGAGGCCACATTTCTGCCCAGTTCTTGGCTATAACAAAAGGGCTACAAAGATATTTTTGTCCATATGGGCACTTTTCCAGTGTTTCTGATTTCTTTGGGTTGTGATGCTAGGAGTGGTGCCAGGGTGCCCCTGGGCATGTACAGGTTGCTAACTTCACGGGCGTAGTTCCAAAGTGTTTTTTGGTTACTAGCTCTGTCTTCAGTTACTCTGTGAACCAGGTTTTGCCAATCTCATTAGCGGCACAGTGGAAACCTAAGAATTGTTGCAACTTATATTTCCCTAATTATTATTGCCTGGGATTGTTTTTTTCCACGTAGTTACTGACAACTTGCATTTCTTCATTTGAGAACTGCCCATTAATACCCTCTTACCACACACTACCTATTGGAGAAAGATTCTCATTCATATATATTCATGTCAGTTGTTTATGAATCCTGGCTATTAACCCTTTACCAAAGAAATTTTTTATGAAGATCTTTGAAATAATTGTTTCTTTCTAAATCTGACTGCATTTATTTTCCTTGTACAGATGCTTTTCAGTTTTGTGTTAGCCAGATTATCCATTTTATCATCTTAGATGATCTCCATTCCTTGCTGAGGCTAGAGTCCCTATCTAGCATAGTTGTGCAAGGCCTCACTTTCTTTTGTTCTCTGATTTGATTGGGGGACAGGGTGGGGAATGTAATCTTTCCTGTTAGATCAGTATTGTTTGGAGTTCCTTGTTGTGTGTGGTATATATTAGTAGCAGAGCCCTCTTGATAAGGTAGTTGTGTAACTCAACTTTCTGCCGGCCTGAATTCTCAATTTTCTGGCACCTTTTGTTAAATAGAGGAGTCTTTCCCCCAGTAGCTGATGTGCTTGGGTTTATGGAGAGGAGCATGTTCATCTGCGGTGCCCTCCCTGTGCGAGCTGGTCCTCTCCTGCTCCTAT